CTGCAGGATCCTCTCTATGTGACTGGGAAGGGGAAGTGCTTGAAAGAGAGTGACATGCCCAGATACTGCAGGAGACGGTGTTGTCGGTACCTCTGGCTGGCAGAGGGGAGGGGGCTGCCAGGCTCAAGCAACTGGAGCCTGACCCTAAAGCCATGGTCCCCTCAGTAACACAACACAGATGCAGAAAAAGGAGGTAGCTGGGATATAATGGCAAAATAACCCTTGTAAATCTGATGGCAGACTGTCTGAGGACTAGTGTTGCCACTTGGTTCATGGTTTTTGATCAGCCAGTCCATTCCTGTGGAGTTCTGTCCCACATAAAAATATTTGTTTCTACATGTATTTTTGGTCAACACCCATCTAATACAGCCCTCCATTGCTGGTTGCTGCTCTATCTAGCACCAGCAGTTTACTAGTGAAGGAGGGTTGTGGCAGGAGCCTGTCCCCTCTGCCAGCAGAGGCAGTCCACGGACCTAGCACTGAGTTGCAGGGGGCAGGGATGCTGAGCAGGCTGCAGCTGGGGGTCAGGGGAGAGCCGGCCAAGGGAAACGTGCTTCTTGTGCTGTTGCCAGATAAACAGTAACATGTAAAGCAAGAGAGCTTCAAAATTTATGACTACATCTCTGTTTCAGCCCTATCTATCTGCTTGTGTGATACGTCTGCTTGGAATATCCACAGTTACAAAAGCACACACTTGTTGCAGATCTGTGCCCTTCTGCTGGGAAAAAGTAATGAACTGGCACAGGTGGAGGCACGTGCCATTTTTTAAACACTATAAAAAAGGAAGAATAATCATAAACGTGGTTTAATGGTGGATTTGGCAGTACTAGGTTAACGACTGGACTCAATGATCTTAAAGGTCTTTTCTAACCTAAATGATTCTATGATTCTATAGCTTGAACTTAGATAAGGAGAGAAAGCACCCACAAGGTCCAACTTTATTCAGTGCTAAACATGCAGTTACTCTGGAGAAAAAGCAGATGAACAGTATTCTCACCTTAAAAGACAGCAGCTTTCTCCTACTTCAGACTTTGATTTCAAAATAAATTGTTTTGAGTCCAGGCTGCAGCTCAATTTGGAGGCTGATGCTCTGGGAGGCAGGTGGGTGATATGTTGCCTTGGGGGCAGGGGGGGCGGGGGGGGGCAGCTTGTGGAGGGCATTTCTGGCCACCTTGAGTATCCTCAAACCTTCCTGACTCCAGATAACATGATAAATACTGACAAATTGACCCGGAATGAGAAAGAAGTTGTGCTGCTTGTAGACTTTTTTCCCCTACTGCTTTCTTGGCTTTTTAAAGCAGCTTGGTGAAGTGAACTGCTTGGTTTGAGAACTGCAGCATGGGAAGGTGGACAGGGCTGCTCCTGTTTTCTCTTCTTGAGAGAAACCAGAAACCCATCCTAGTTTAGAAGTGTGGCAAGATTGGGCTGAGCCTGGATGTTAGGAGAAAGTCAGTACTTCTGAAAAAGTAACTGGCAACTACCTGGAGTCTTCATGAATGCATGGTGGTGAAGCTGTAAGGACAGAAAAGCGTGCCCATTTCGCATTCAATGAAGTATGTGGCCTCATGTGTGGTCATCTCCTTCAAAGCTCTTCACAAATTTAACTATGCTTAACTTTATCAAGGAGTTGCAATTTTGATGACAAAAACATATAGGAATGAGTCGCATCAAACTCAGAATTAACATTTTTAAAGATTTTGAAAACTGAATTCTTCCCTGTTGAAGAACAAGAACCATTCCAGCTGAGAGGTGCTAGAGGGAAGAGGTAGTTTTGGGGAAGTTGATCACATCCCTTCACTAAAAGACCATTTCCTTTCTCTGCTGTGTCCCACAGCTGCTCTGTCTCTATTTCAAAATGTTGTTATACTTATCAACTATCCTCTGTGGCACAAAGAAAATACAAGGGTACCTCAGTCTTTCAATTCCTTTTTTTTTGGAAAGCACCAAGTTCTTAACCTAATGTGCAATGCTAATTTCAATGTAGTGGGACAGAAGGTTACTATGAGACGCACGCAGCCTTCTGCCTGAGCTTTGTCACCCTTGAGCACACAGATGCTGCCATGGGTCCCCTGACACATGGCAGGTGGCAGGAATCAGTCTGTCTGCTCTCAGGCAGGTACCTCTTGGTGCAAGCGGGCAGCAGATCGTGACAATTTCTGTGCATAGCAAAAAATGGAAACTGCAGTGGGAAGATTTGGTGTTTGCATTTAATGGGTTTCCCTTTCAGAGCTGGTAGGCAGACTCCCTACCCCTTTATGCATGCAGCATGCTTGGCCATTTGACCAACCATGTGTTTCCATTCAATAGGGCCGAAATAAATATCATTAAATTTCCCTTGGGTATTTACAGAGGGATACTTTCTTTTGAACTGTGTCTTCTTTTTCAGACAGAGTATAATACCCAATCTTACAATTTTCTATTTGTTTATGATAACTTATGGCTGGGGTGTCTTAGGAAACGAAATGATGCTGAGTGTTTCTCTAGTATTCTCTCCAACTAAACAATCTGACTCCAATATTTGTATCAATATAATATATATATCAATCTCTCTATATTTTTGTTCTGTAGAACAAAATACATTTTACAGAACCTACACAACAAAGTAACTTGGCTGTGCTGAGATGTTCTGTTGCTCTGTACAGTTAACAACCCCCCAAAGCGTACCAAACAATAAGTATCAAAATTAGAGATACAGGGAGGTAAATGCAGTTCTGCCTAGGAACTATTTCTGCATTTAATGCTGGAGGAAGTGATTGTGAAAGAGTGATTTGCGCAAAATGGTTGTGTCAGCCCTTCTAGTGATGGGCAATGACTAACAAAAGGAGAGAGATCTATCACTGAATTTCAGCTTGCGTAGAAGGGAGTGCAAACACGACCTACGCTCATTTTTGTGTCCTCAGTCAGCAGCAGTGACAAAAGTGGTTGAAATGTGAGTTTGAAGGGCAGCATCATGCGCAATGGACAATGTTGAACTGTTCAGAAGCCATGGTTTCCTTAGGGAAGCAGCCACTGAAATATTTTATCACTCCAGGACTGTCATCACATCAGATCTGCCAAAGGGTTTCCAGCTTTTTTTATACTTTCAGGGATGAGGTGACCACTTGGATCCCAGAGGACACGATCAGCAAATGATGAGACTGAAATACATCATGCAGTACACAAGGTAAGTATTTACTCTCTGCATATTCAGGTTTTGGGGATAGGGGGATTTGGGGATTGTCTGCAGTACTGGAGCTGTTTACAGCAGCTTATGAGCTTTACTAAGTGAATTATTTTCTGTATGGTAAAATGTTCTTTGGCACCTGTGGCAAGAAACACAATCCTTCTGTAATTTAAAATCAGTATTGTTCTAATTATATCCACTGTTTATAGGGTGACAGTAACACCCATTTCCCATCTATTACCAGTGTTGATTTACAGAAAAGGGTGATAAACTTGTTTAGTTGCATATCAGCTTGTTCTGCCTTTCCAGTAAAGAATGTAAATTGCTTACACAGTGTGTGAAAGGGTATGCCAGGAGCCTATGCAGTTCTGCTTTTTAGAAGCCCTGAGGCTGGTGAGACTCCATGTGGGGGACCCCAAAATCTCTTTCGGGAGTTTGCAGTGTCAGAAGCCACAGCCCACTTGAAGGGCCGAGAGGGCGGACATACTTGTTTGGGCTTCTGCCTCATGAGTAGCCACACTAGATGGACAGGCTGATGCTGTGAAGCCTATGAGCATTTAGAATCAGAGAATCGTTTATGTTGGAAAAGACCTTTAAGATCATCAAGTTCAACCAGAAACATAACGCTGCACCACTAAACTGTGTCCCTAAGTGCCCCAGCTACGCATCTTGTGTGACTCAACCACTTCCCTGGGCAGCTTGTTCCAGTACTTGATAACCCTTTCAGTGAAGAAATTTTTTCCCAATATCCAATCTAAACCTCTCCTGGTGCAACTTGAGGCCATCTCCTCTTGTCTTATCACTTGTCACTTGGGAAAAGAGACCGACACCCACCTCACTACAACCTCCTTTCAGGTAGTTGTAGAGAGTGATAAAGTATCCCCTGAGCCTCCTTTTCTCCAGGCTGAGCAACCCCAGTTCCCTCATCCACTCCTCGTAACACCTGTTCTCCAGAACCTTCACCAGCTTCGTTGTCCTGCTCTGGACACGCTCCAGCACCTCAATGTCTTTCTTGTAGTGAGGGGCCCAAAACTGCACACAGTGTTTGAGGTGCAGCCTCACCAGTGCTGAGTACGGGGGTACGATCACTTCCCTACTCCTGCTGGCCACAGTATTTCTGATACAGGCCAGGATGCTGTTGGCCTTCTTGGCCACCTGGGCACACTGCCGGCTCGCATTCAGCCAGCTGTCGACCAACACCCCCAGGTCCTTTTCTGCCGGGCAGCTTTCCAGCCCCTCATCCCAAAGCCTGTAGCACTGCATGGGGTTGTTGTGACCCAAGTGCGGGACCCAGCACTTGGCCTTGCAGAACCTCATAAAACTGGCCTCAGCCCATCAATCCCGTCTGGCCAGGTCCCTCTGAAGAGCCTTTCTACCCTCAAGCAGATTAACACACCCACCCAACTTGGTGTCATCTACAAACTTCCTGAGGATGCACTCAATGCCCTCATCAGGATCACTGATAATCTAACCATCTTGCTCTATTTAAGGCTGAAACTTCCAGCCGTAGCTTTGTTGCTAAGATGAGGTGTAATGGAAGAGATGTAAGAGGCGAGAGCCATAGCCAACGTGTATGAAATGGCAGGCCATTAAGAGTGGTCCTTTATGACTCTTGAGACATGATACAGCTGTACTCCAGAGATGAGTAGCATGCCATGTTTGCAGGACTGAGCAGCTGAAGTAGGAGAGGAAGACTGATGTCACAGGATAACTCTTCGGAGAAAAAATTTTATTCTAAACTTCCTAATAAAATTGCACATATTTTCAATAGTTTTCAGTTGCTGTTCAAAACTAAAAGTTGACACTATCTTCTCTCCTTTCTGTTTCTTACAGCAAAATGTTCAAACAAACAAAACAGAAATCAAGAACTACACACACTTGGCTAGCGTGGGCCATCTACATGGTCTTCACTGCAAACCTCTCTGAAGAGCAAGCGCCGAAGCATGCTTGTCCTTCATGTGATGCCACTCAGCTTTGCATCTGCTCTTCCATGGGCTTGGACTTCATTCCCCCAGGGCTCACGGCCAAAATCACAACGTTAAACCTGGCCCACAACAGGATAAAGCACATCCGATCCCAGGATCTGCAGCAGGCTGTGAACCTGAGAGCCCTGCTGCTGCAGTCCAACAAAATCAGCTCAATAGATGAGGACTCATTTCACTCCCTTGGGAAACTGGAGCTCTTGGACTTATCAGATAACAGCTTGGCTCACTTGTCCCCTGTGTGGTTTGGGCAACTTTTTTTGCTCCAGCACCTCCACCTTCAAGGGAACTCCTACAGAGACCTGGGGGAAAGCTCCCCGTTTTCTAGCTTGAGGAACCTGAGCTCTCTCCATGTGGGCAACCCGTGGTTCTCCACAATAAGACAAAGGAATTTTGAGGGCATTGAGCTTCTTGACAAGTTGTGGATTGATGGTCACAATCTCAGTCAGTATGAGCCGGGGAGTTTGAAATTGATTAAGAAGATAAACCACATGATTGTAAACATAAGAAGCACTAATGTATTCTCAGAAATTGTCAGGGACCTTCTGCACTCTGTCATTTGGTTAGAAGTGAGAGAAATCGAATTAGAGATTGAAAAAAAAAGCTTGGTGCAGAATTCTACACTTCCTTTTAGGATACAAAAACTTACATTTAAAGATGCTTGGTTCACAGATCAATCTATTAGCCGAATAATAGTGTTACTGAAGAACATCACATCTTTGCGAGAGTTAGAGGCAATTGATTGTGCACTTGAGGGGAAAGGAGCATGGAATATTGAAGAAATTGCAAGCAGTGGGCAAAGTTCTGTTGAAACAGTATCAATAATAAACATAATGATTCAGAATTTTCATTTGTTTTTTGACCTGGATGGTATGGAGTCACAAATAAACAAACTGAAAAGACTGTCCATTGTAAGCTCTAAAGTTTTCATGGTAGCATGCAAACTTGCAAGAAGTTTTTCATCACTTCTGTATCTGGACTTTCATGATAATTTGCTTGTAAATAATCGCTTAGATGAGACATTATGTGAACAATCTTGGCCTTCATTGCAAACTTTAAATTTAAGTCAAAACTCTCTAAAATCTCTGAAACGGACTGCAGATTCTATAACTCGTCTACCCAACCTGATTAATCTTGACATTAGCCAAAATAATTTTGGTGAGATTC